ATAAAATTAGAACATTGCAGTGAAAAGTGGATAACTGGTTTCCTTACGCTTGGAGGAATGAAAGCTCTCTTCGAAGTCTTAGAAAAGCTTGGTGAAAGAGAACTTGTGAGGTTTACTGATGCATTTGTTCAGCTAGAATGTATTCGATGTATTAAAGCTGTACTAAACAGACAAACTGGATTGGAATTCATGGTACAAAGCCAAGAATTTACAAGACAACTGGCAACAGGTAAGCCATCTGAGTCATTTTTTATTTGATAATGTATGCAGTTGGTTAGGGCTTTTTTTTAAAAAGAATAATCAGTTTTGATGCTGTTAAAAAAACATATCTCTGAGCAACTTTAGGTTGCGTATATCATAACATTATTGTTTGAGGGAAAATATTGATAATAATCTCCTTACAATGAGGCGGCCTTATCAAGAAATATCTCGGTATGAGAGAGCGGAGGTGTTTATTCCACTTTATGTTTGGACATTCTAAAGTGAAATCGCTGTAGGGTTCTACAAACACGATTAACAGGTGTTTCTTTACCGACTGCCGGTGTTCATGTACTAACTCCACCGAACAGCCGCGTATTGAGTGGTATTTTGAAAAGATTGAAACAACTAATTAAAGTCAAAAGTTTGTTCTTCAAGAAGAATCAAGTTGTCCTTTAGTAGCTTTGAATCGTGAAATGTGTAGATAGGTTCTTTAAATTGTGTAATGTTCTTCAAATTGAATAGAGTTATAATCAATTCGGAAAGGTTTTCCACTAAAAAGACAATACATAACTTGGTATACAGTAGCTGCGAACATGTATGAAAATGTATAGACTGACACATCAAGGATTTATCAAGATTAGTGTGATTATGAACAGTCTATCAGTACTCTAACGAAAGTGAAAGACGTGTATACATAGTGTATATCTGTATCACGTGTTAATCTGCCGTTGATAACAGTAGCTAGTAGTTTAAGATTCTCGTTTACGGCAAACGTGAAACGTCAGTTGACCATTAAAAAATTCTTTAAAATTAGTGATAAGGAATCGCAAAAATCTCCAAGTRGTAGACAAACAAAAGAATACTTGTCTTTGTCGAGGAGGTTTGCAAAAGGTAAAGTGAAATGTAGGGAAACGATGAAAACGTGGTCACAGTTTGCCGTTTGCGGGAAGGAAAAAAGAGAACCTTAATCTGCCTAGTGACAAGCACTTAACACCAAAATCATAAGTAATCGGGCCGATATACATATGCTCTGCTCTATTAATGCAATCACGCATGTTCTTTCAGTACTTAGCTAATTTAGGAAAGTACATGTGTTATTATTGATATTCCTAATTAGGTTAAGATTTTTAAGGAGGAAGCAACGAGGAGATATACCAAGCACTTTTGAAAATAGTGATCTCAATACGTGATCTTATTAATTATGAAGTCTTCTGATGCGGGTCTCACGGGTCCGTTTTGAAATATTCTTGGTTTGCAATCAATACCAAGAGAGCACAATAACAAAAGGGATGTCCGCCATGTTGGAAGATATAACAAAAGAATTCATTGAAAAATCTTTTGTCAAATTCTTTCAATATGGCGGCTATGACGTCTATTGCAAACGAAGAATTATTGTACTATATAACGGTTTCTCTAAGTACTACTTTGGTATTTTTGGAGCTAGTGTGATCCCATCTAATATTCTCTTGATACAACTCGCAGATGCTTTTTGTAGCATTTTTCTGGTACTTTAGGTTTGTTTGTCTCGACAAGCGTTTGTCAGTTCATGAGGATGAGAGCATAACAGACAATTTGCATTTGAAGGCTTTATTTCCGGTATCTGTATTTATCATCTAGTTAGACAAAATATTAATTAAGAGTGAATGATGCAGAACCCGGCCAGATTATGCCATGATAAAGGATAAAGACAAGAAGCTGAATTCAATAGAAAAAGCGATATATGAATTGTATAAGAGTTGATGAATACGTTTTTTCAAGCAATCTGTTTTTTCCTTTTTTATATCTATCTTTTTCCTCAATGATAAAAAGGAAGATTTTAGGCATTTCATTATAATTATGGATCTACGAATGCGCAGTTTGACTTAGGGGCTGTTTATATGGAGGCGAGCCAGCCCGGTAAGCGGGCTAGCCCGCTTTGCCGAGATCTCGGCTCGGCCTCTTTTCGTTAAAAAAAAAGGTTTGTGTTTATATGGGGAGACGGGCTGGCCCGCTTACCGAGATCTCGGCAAGCGGGATGGAAAAATTCTCATATAAACGAGCCAGCCCGGTAAGCGGGCTGGATTTGATCCTACTGCGCATGCCGCCATATTTTTTTTTTTGATTTTCGCGGGACGAGTTCGTATGCTAACGAGGCTGGATGATCACATGACTGATTTCATCCCGGTAAGCGGGCTGAATTTTCCCATATAAACGCAATCCAAAATTCATCTCGGCCAAGCGGACTAGCCCGCTTACCGGGCTGGCTCGCTCCATATAAACAGCCCCTAACACCATTTACCGGCGTTTTTCTTGTTTTGTGTTTTGGATTGAATCTTTTCTTATCTAGTAGAACACGTTTTCAGATCTAGCAAAGCGGAAGGAACTTTCGGTCCTGAGTATTTTAGCTTACAAAGCACTGACTCCTTTCTAATTCAGCAGTTTATTTTCATTCTAGGAGGAAATGCGTAGCACTTTAAATCTGTAGAGTTTTTACTTGAAAGTTTTTACATAAAAGTGCTTAACTTTTCTATTAATAGAGTACAAGTTTGCGTCCCACCTTAATTCTGATAATTGGCTGAACGGTTTGAAGTTTGGCTGGAGGGGCCATCGGGATCAGTATGTCTCTCCACTGTGCGTCAAGCCGGACTTGAATATTTTTTGGGCAAACGAGCAATTGCTTTAAATATTAACAAAATTTCTCAACAAATTGTTTTCGGACTTAAAAATTATCCAAGGAAATGATAATGCCATTAATTGTATTCGCCATTACAGTACTGTTCATCTACAAGCTAGGGTTTGATATATGAAAATCAAACTTTCGTTTCTCTGATATCTCAAGGTCCCTTGTTTTCTCAGCAAGTTATGAAAACCCTTGGTCCAATTCATCATGGGAACTTTCGAAGTAATATTTATAAGTTATTGGGATTTCGAGTCGCCAATGTGGGCTTATATTGCCGCCGTATTGGCGGCTTAAAATCGGCGTGAGTTTTTGGTGTGCATGTATCGCGATTCTCCTAGTATATTGCAAGGTAATTCTGAGCTGACAAAACGGGTTTTGGATCTCTCTCGATCAAACTTATGTATGGGAGAATCGCGATACACTGAAATACTGCTCAAGGGTTATATGATAGAAACATCATCTTTACGCATCAAGATCACTGAACGAAGAAGACGTTAATATACACCACGCATGGGTCTGCCGATTCATAGTCTGGCGTGCAGCCCGGTAGCCCGACTTTAAGGCTGTACTAACCAGAGTTAAAGTCCGGTGGACGCTGGCGGCAGATTCACTGTGAGTAATTATTTTYTATCTGAGTCTTGTGGTTGCACGTTTGAAGAGAATAAGCCGGTGAAAAAAAACAGTGTCATTAATAACTATCTATCTACCGCAGCTAACCCAAAACATGAGTAGGAGGACTGTGGTCTAATCACGGTAGAAAATAACCCGAGTACAAGCTGGCAAAATAGATTTTCGTCAGTGGACCTTAGAACCAGGTCCTTAACTGACCTCTTAATATGATATCCGCCCATCCACCTCAGAGGATTAAACACTTATCTGACATCATCACCTGAAGTTTGGTCATTCTTTCAAGAGGGTCCTGAAGGGGAATCCTAATCCCATTTCCCAGCATATGTTTTGCTCAAATCTCAATCTCAATCCAATTCCCGCAATTTGTTGATTATTTTTCGTTTGTGAATCCCATTCCCAGTCCATAAAATCCCATTTTCCCAGCCCAAAAAGGCAAATCCCAGCTCCTATTTCAAGACCAAGTATACATGCGTAAAACTGAAAAAAAAAAAAATGACAAGTCTGAACTGGTTTAACCCTTGGCTCCGGCATGATACGATAACATTTCTATTTGATACAATATCATTTTCTGAGAGATTTCCATGGTAAAGATGATGGCGTGGAGTTAAATAACTACGGCATGCCTGGTCAAAAATGAAATTGAGTGATTCAGTTACTTGAAAAAAATGATGCTTAACTTTTAAACTTTTAAACTGGGTTATTTTTTTACTTTAGAATAAGTCGGTAAAACTTTATAAACATTTTCTCTTGGTTTTTATCATTTTCACATTTTTTTCGTAATGGTAACAGTTCAATATACGTGACCCGATTTAAAGAGACTCCCCGTTGGTCTCACACAAAACAACATGCTGTAAAGATAAATGACTAAGGATTAAGGTTTACTATCACGCATGCCAGCATGCAGAGGAACATAGCCAGTACCTGGCATGATCATCAGTACCGCGTGACATCGTCGCGTGACACATCTAATGACGTGATCTTTTTGTATAAAGTTAGTCACCAAAAAAGCTACAAAGCTGAGACCAGCAAGGATTATGGGTAGATACATTTTACATGTTTCAACCGCTTGATAACTGTTGATGGACTTGCACATCTTCTACCAGTTACAGTTTCACCTCCTCTGAATATCCTCAACTGCTGCAGTTTGTGTCAAAAGATTTACTTGTTGGATATGAAATATTTCCCATGATTCTCAGCGATCACAGCTTTCTAGGTTTTTAGTGACAAACTTTATTGAAATAAGTATATAACTTTGATCTCATCTTCTTTCCTTTTATCGTCATTTCCCTACACTACCAAAATATCGGTGCCAGTCTCGGAGTGCGAGAGACATTTTATGAAAACATGTTTTGTGCAAACATTTCATTTATGCCATTTGGGGAAAAAATTCAAAAAACGTCTTTTGTCTTTTTTTAGCTTTATCACTCAGTTAACGAATAACAAAACAATTAACARCTAATAATAGTCAGAACAACTATATTACTTGTACAATCATAACTCGAGACTAATATCTGTAGCTTTTTTATAAACGTTTTTTTCTCTCTTCCCAACTTGATATACCACTGCTAGCATTTGGTTGAGTGACAAGCTCCACGACATCGAAGCAATGGAAGACCTTGAAACTAGTAGACTAATCATGGCATGTTGAGTCTAGTTTATTCATATCTTCTCTTTTGCAAGAGCTACGTCACTTCTTTAACGATATCGTCCGACAAATCTGGAAAGACCACAAAACTAGTGTATATAATTACTATTATTATATTCTCGTTGTACTAGCCATAACATGTAAAATTGCATGATATTCTCGGTGTTTCTAGCTTGTCATTGATGTAGCTTTAATTGTCTCTTTGACCTGTGACATTGTTATTTGAATTCATCGATCCATGACACATTGCGCGCTTATTAGTTATCAAAGTATAAAGTAACGGTGATATCRCATAGTATATTAAGAACGTGCTTAATCTAGCTAAGACTATAGTTAGGCTGTATATTGAAATTGACGGAAAGTTTCTTAAGGGATACTGAATTTGCCAGTCAGTGTTCAAGCAATGGCTGTTTGGGGCAAAGCTTACAAATTGGTTGTGACTTCAAAAGCCAAACAAATCGAGTTTGGAAGCTTTGAAGATGTTGATCCCGAGCTTTGTGTTCAGTTGCTCCGAGTCCCTTCTTTGAAAAACTTTTCTTGTCTTCATCATAAACTCAAGAATTGTAAATCAGAATGGCTGAAAGAGTTCGTAAACCTAGGAGGACTGACTATTCTACTCGACAGCCTGGATACCATGGATAGAAGGGAAACCTTGTCTTTCATGGATGCTTTCACCGAGCTAGAATGTGTACGATGTGTTAAAGAAGTGATGAACTCCGAAACTGGTCTCATGGCCATGATGGAAAGCCAGGGATTCGTATGCTCGCTTGCTCGAGGTAAGCTAGCTTGCCCAAGTCAAATTTGTCTCTTGCCTGTGCAGGCTACTTGAATTTTTTAAAATCCTTATGTTAAAATCCCCTTTAGAACCACATTGGTCACTCCACTCGATCAATTAAATCTGCCCCATAATTTGGGTGACGATTGGTTCATGTTCATTTTTTAGATAACATGCCAATGTATTATACGGTTATCGCTTTCTCGAATAACCCAATCAATCTAGATATATTGCCTGACTGTTCGTACGTATATGATGTATGACGAATTCGAATTCAAATTGATCTCATGACGTGAAGATTAACATCCGATCAGCATGATACTGGATTCCTGTGGTGTAGCTATAGACCTCAACAAAAACAACGCATTTTTTTACTAGTTTGTTTAATAATGATTTATTTAAAGTTTGTTCATAGTTTATGAACTATTAATTATGGTTTGTTTAATTAAACATGAATAAATATCATGCATGGATTGATTTTGTATGAAGGTATGTAGAACTGAGATGACTTGAAAATCAGACCAGATGCAAAGGTTATTGAATTCAACACTTTGACAAAAATTGAAGAACGATTGATTTTGTTTTGCTTTCTTGCCCGAGATAAGATTACACCACCGACTTTTTGCTTAATTACCACTGTAGAGGGCTAGCACTCTGTCCGCACTTGACCGCTATTGTGCACTGTTTGTCTAAAGTATAAGTTGGAATGAATGATATGTATAGCGATCAAAAAGCCATCCAGCCAATCAAAAAAGCAACTACAACATTTGAAGTAAAAAATATTTTTGACGAAATTTTCTAAGTGAGTAAAGGAGATTGAAAGGACAACTGATTTGTATTTGCCTTGCACGCAATCCCAGCAGAATATTTTCCCCCATGAGCGAAAGCGTCGTACACGTATGAAATGACCATTTGACCAAGGTTTATTTGTTTTGTGATGATTGTCTCGGAACGTGTTCTTTCATAGCCAAGAGGTTAGGGTACAGACTTGCTTTAATCATTGTACTGTACGTGCGGATAGTATAGCAGCGGAGTAAAGGAAAGGGACAGGAAGGGACCCGTTACATACCATGCTCTCCTGTTTCGCATTATACCCGGTGTATTTAGTATACGGGCTCGGGCAAGATAACATACTATCTGTACAATCAGAGTTAATAGAGGGGAACTATATTAACTCTGGTACAACTAAAAGGAAAAGCACGTGATATGATATTGTCTAAAACTTGTAATCAAACATGAAAACTCATTTTTGTTTCAATTTCTTCATATCTATACACACTCTATGGTGATTTTTATAATCCCCCACGCACTAACATTAACACAATTGTAGTTTAGGGACTAGTTTCAATTTCGATTTCTGTTTTTACTTTTGTTTATTTTCTTTGGCGAGCAAGGTTGGCAAGACACCAGATAGCTCCAATTTATCAGCTTCATTTTAATGAGACTCTTGATAAAGAAGTGAGCATTTTATGCGTATTAATGTTGGCCGTAACCTTAAATAATATGATACTGAATTATTCAACTTAAACCTGTTTTGGTATGTGGTTTTGTTCAGTGCGTAAGCTAAAAGAGTCTGCAACGCGTCTGGACCGATCTAAAAATAACTCGGAACAGACGTTATGATCAGCGGTGCAGCGTTATTTTTTGTGTGGTCAAAATTATCGTTAAAAAACTGTTTATTAAAGGGRAAAAAAACATTTTTTAACAGGCTCAGAAATAAGCTGTTGTTTAAGTGGAATATATTATTAAGTTATATAGGAGTTACACCTGCGGAAGGAGCGGCGAGTGAAAGTTGCCTATATGATCTGATGGAGAAACGCTCATTTTATTTTGGCCGGAGATGATTTTTGCCTTTTTTCTACAATGCACTTAAAAGAAAGTCATGTCTCAGTGGTTTCCATGGATACAGACACGAATAACAGACACCTGTGATGTGGTGGATAGGCAGGGATAGGGTTGTGGTAAAAAAGATTGACGCCTAAGCCTGGCGAAGAGAGAGAGTGGGAGGTCTAAAAATGTCTTATTTCAACACGAAAATGAAATGGATGGATCTGAAAAAGGTTTTTACTGGAGAAAGAATTTCCCCGCTTCTGTTCGAAGAATGTGGCGTGGACTTTTCTATCAGAATATTAAGCTACCCATCGATTCAAAATTACGCCGGGATAAGATCGAAGCTGAGAAGTTCTTCGAATGAATGGCTTGGTGAGTTCTTACACCGAGGTGGACTGGATGTGTTATTGTTTACTTTGGAACGACTAAGCACCAGCTCTAGTAAGAGAACTCGATTTCTTGATACACTACTACAACTGGAATGTGTGTCTTGCATAAAAGAGGTAATGAACTCAAAATCTGGACTTCAATACGTGATTGAATGCCAAGATACTGTTCGGAGACTAAGTCAAGGTTAGTTAGATTCACAGAACCGATTCTTTAACAACAACCTTAGTTTTTAGGAAGTAAGAAACTAAATATTGAAAAAAATACGTTTTAAAAGTGCCGTGTTTGTTTGACATCAGCTTATTAACGTCCACGTTTTTGTAGAATTTATGGCGTTGATTAATGAGTCTTACTTAGACCATTAAGTCAATGGATATTTTATTCCTTGTCTAATCTTTAAACGCGATGGTCAGTTAGTAAGAATAAAGATATTCGTTTCAAGTCGATACATATCAAGTAGTATGCCTAGATTTTGGTATAGTAATTCAATTATTTATTTTGTCAATCAATTATTTATTGATTTAAAGAGTATTTTTAAATGGGTGCATTAAATATTGTAATGAAATACTCGCCAGTCTGGCTGACGTAATAGAATATTAATTTACTCTCATTTGTTACAAAAAAAAAAAAAACAAAAAAAAACAAAACTAATACGTTTTCAATATAGCGATAACATAATAAAAGGTCAGAAATAGATCACTTAAACAAATATCAAAGCTTTTAAAACTCAAAAATGTTTAATCATTAATGAAATTGCGGGAACAAATAGGTTTTTGATAGACGATAATACACGATGGCTTACTGACTCTTCTATAGAGTACATTTAAATAGATACAAAGTAATTCCGCCGGGACGCTTTACGTTAGATATTTGTAATTGTCGCTGACAAAAGAACTTAGTTCAGTTAATTGTGAAGAACGATATACTGATGTTGTACTCCTCCGCGCATACAGCGCCATCCAAGAACGACTGAGTTTCTTTTCTTGTGTCTGTTGTCATAATCGACCCACTCAATCATACCTGTTTTGTCACGTGACTAATTTGAAAACGTTTCTGTTACGCGCTACATTGCTGTCAAGGAAACAGAACTTAACTTTATAAGTAGACAGAATAATACACTATCTCTGATCTTGTATTTCCCGGCGCATAATACAATAAAGACTGATTGACTGTCGAGATGAGACGAATAAGTAATAGGAAAATGAACTTTTAAGAAAATGTGCAATCACAAATAGAGAGAGAAAACCGGTGTTTTGTATTGAGTTAGCACTTCTTTGTGTGACAAGAAGGGATTGATAAAAGAATGCAAATAAAATTATTCTCATTCCGCAAGGGTTTAATATTTCGAGTAATTGATCAACAGCCGCCTGAGTGCCGGTTTTAACATCAATTTTCCAGTGCGAAAACCGAGAAGGAAAACTGAAAAATTAAGGAGAAAAAGAGCTTTTATGAGTACGAATATCGCTGAGTATAAAATTGTTAACTCACAAACCACTCTGCTTAACAATTTTAAAATATATAGGCTAGTGAATAACCAACACCGTAAACTGGGCTAGCGATACGTGTGTGTGTTTACTCAAATACAACTGCTGAAAATAGAAGATACTACTATGAAACAGTAATTAGTATTTGAGATAAGGTTTACACGACTCTTCATTAATCAAATGCTGTATTTATTTATGACTAATGTATTTTGTTTTTATGCCTTTTTAGCCTTTATTTTGGCTTTTGCCGTTTTCTCATTCATAATTGTATCAGATATTAAACAAGAGTATTTACGTATTTGCCTCCAACAGCGACTTAAACTTATTGGATTTTTTTCTGGAATAATTAACCGAAAAAAAAAAACTGAGGGTTTTATCGCGATACAGTCGGTGCGTTAACGGAAAACTGCTCTTAATGACTCCATAAAACTGCAGTTTCTTTGAATTCGAGCCATGGATATGAACGAGGAAAAAGAAAATATACCTCTACATGCCAAGAAACGATGGTCAAAACTTCAGCAGATAAACCTGGCATCTGTGATTGCCATTAACAGCAGTCCTGAACTTTGCATCAACTTGCTGAGTCGAACGCCCTCTAGAAAAGTTTTCCTTGAACTAAAGTCGAAGGTAGAAAATTGTTCAAAGGAATGGCTAAACGAATTCATCGAAATAGGAGGATTGAATCGTCTTTTCGAATCATTGGCAGTTTTGTGTCACAGACGGAACGAGGTATTCTTCACATTTCTAGAGAGGCTGGAGTGTGTGCGTTGTATCAAGGCAGTACTTAACTCCAACACTGGACTAGAAGCAATGTGTAGGAGTCAATTATTGGTTCGCAAACTGGCTATCGGTAAGAGCAATGAAGAGCTATTAATCAATTATATTATATTATATATTATATAGTATTGGTAAAATTGTTATCCGGGGACAAAATAGACTGATACGATGTTCTTTTTCTTTGGATTTTTATGACAAAGCACATTCGTTTTTGGTGGTGTTTGGTCAACTATGAAATCCTCAGATATTTCTCAGATGATTCTCCTGTCAATCACCATAGTTAATAGATTAACTATGCAATCAACAAGAGCCTATTAAAAACTGAGTAAAAATTTAAAGCAGAAACTAACTGTTCAATTCCCGAATCGATTTCGGCACCAAAAAAATTCTTTATAAACAATATTCCATGGTCACGAGTTCTCAGCTTGTGACAAATGTTGAATCAAAAACAAATAAAGTTTCATTTTACTTATTATCAATTGAACTTTTGCTGACCAACCAGTGTGCCGAAAATGGTTGACACATAAACATCTTATGCGTTTTCTGAAGTTATTAAAAGAAAAACAACAGCTGGATTGCCGTGGTTTTTTATGATAACTATATTAAATTCGCCTACATAGAGACTTAAGTTGTGCGTCCCATATTCAGTTTAAAATGCATACGGTTCAACTGCATTAAAATTGGACGCTAAGAAATTAAGAGAGGCTTTAGATTTGATGTTTTTACCTCAGATCGCAATGATAGGAAAAAAAAAAGCAGCGGAAGAATATATCAAAAGTTAAGCACTAATGATGAGTAATCACCAGACGATCAATTAACTTGGCCGTAGAGAATTGAGCTCGTTTGATTTCTGTTGTCCAATTAAAAAAGTTAATAGCTATATTTTAGGTTGGAAAAGCTTTCACGAATGCATTGAAAATGTGATGTAAAAATCTTGTAATTCGTGAGTTCTAAGAATACTAATACCCGTCCTTTTAAGTCTTCTCCCATTATTTTAGTATATTCCGTGGAGATAGCAAGAGTTTGACCGCAAGACAAACATTTTTACTGTCCAGCGGTATCGTCTATTAATGTAGGCAATTCATTATCGAAACGTTAGAAATGGACTTCCGTCGTTGTATGTCAACAATTCCTCTTGTTATTGACAACCCATTATGTAAGTTTTGCAATATATTTTGAACTGTCCATCCACTTTGATAAATTTCCTTCAAAATCATTCTCGTGATTGCGTTTGAACGACACATACTTTAAGACATTATTGATTAAAGATTTTGTTCTTGAGGCGTTTCCTGATTTTTTTCGGTATTGCCTCATTCTAGATATCTTCTCTTGGGGTGATTCTCTCAAGTTAATTTATTCCTCTCAATTAATCTGCTTTTTAATTTCATGACTAAACTGAAAAGCTAGGCATGCTTCGACTTTGAACCATATTACGACCAACGTCATGACTGACAGAACGCCGGAACATCGGATCAGTTGCTCAGCTTTCTTAATACTGAAAACTTTCCACAGACTGATTGGATCCATTTTTTTTCTCAACTCGACTTTTTGTTAGGAATTGAGTCAAATAGGTTACGTTTCTAGCAAAACACGTTTGGATTCCTAACCAATGCCTATATTACTTTTTCGTTAACCGGAGTCAAAATGCCGGCGAAAATGTTTGCACCTGCAAATGATTTAATGCTTGTCAATGTGGCAAACATTTTGGGTGACAGCGGGTGAAGATAGGATATACGTGCTGTTGAACTAACACAGCAAAATGTGGTTTTCTTCTCAGGACGATAACATGTTTAGTTTCTATTAGAGCAGCAAACTCAAGAGACTAGTCGACCAAGATGTGCACCATACACCGACTCCGCCTTTTCTGGARCAATTTAGTTAACTTTTTCGTAATTACACTTCTGAAGATTTATTTAACCAGAAGCTATTCGTTTTGAAAAATAGTTTAATTGCCACTGTTCATAGGTATAGTTTTAGTAAATAAGAAAGTTATGTAATTTCATATGCGAATCACGTAATGTTTTTTTAGATTGATGACAGTCAGAGCTGTCTCACTGAATGTCACTGATGTCACTTGTCAGTCTTTGTCTTTCACGATGATTCTTTTTCTTATTTTACAAAAAGCATTCAACGAACATGCCTGAGACTGTTTTTGAAGGTTGTAAACTAGCTGTCAATGAGTTCATCACAAACGGCGAATTGGAATAYTTCTGAATTCGTTCATCGATATCGTTTTTGCACTAAGTTTACGAAAAGAATTCAATTAATCTAACCGGCTTAACTCTCGTATTGCATAGCTCAGTGCATCGTTGAAACCTTCTTCATTCACACAACTCCACACACATCCATACGCCCACTCACTCTTCATATCAGTTTAGAACCAAGTTCGTAAATGTTATGTTTTCCCGTGACATTTACAACAAAATGTTTTTCTGAAAAGGCTATCTGTTTTCAATCCAAACATTTTCGTACCAGCAAACATGGTCTTGATCAATACACAATTGCTTTCCAATTTGACCCTATTATAAAGATAAAAAGGGGGTAAAAGTAAACAGTATTTTCATTAATGTGAGAACCTGTGTCAACGACGGTTTTTCTTGACAATACCAGAGTGTCTTAACTACCGCCATTATTGTTTTCTTTTAATCCCCTCCAAAGTAACACTAAATTGTTTACGACTCAGTTTAGGAAGCAAAATATTCATTTCACAAGTGGATTTTTGTGTTTTAAGTGTAGCATTCACAAGCAGTCGTTAATCAAAGGTCAACCAACCAGTAAAAGCTGGCTTACTGACAGCAAAGTCAAATGGGTCCTAGTGTGCTAATAGTCTTTATATACTTACTATTCTAAGTCGACTACAATGACAACGAATGCTTGACCCCTTGGCCGCTGGCTACCACCTGACTCTGTTGATCAGTAGGAGAAAAAACACTAACCCAAGCATTTTCAACATCGGCTTCAGAGAAGCGAATAACCTGTTATTCCTGGCTGGAAAAGGAAAATCGTGAAAGAGAAGATGACAACCAACAGCAAGTGGCGAAGTATTCGTCTAAAGTTTTCTCCAAATAGCAGATTCATCGACCATCGAACATTCTCTGCAAATCTTGGAGCAGAACTTTGCGTACGTCTCTTAGGTTCTCCATCGGTACAGAATTTCTCCGGCTTGAAAACCAAGTTAAAATCAAGCTCAAGGGAATGGATCGAGGAGTTTTTGCTTTACGGTGGGATGGAAGTATTATTTGAAGGGCTTCGCCATCTTAGTGGTCGCAAATTAGCGTTTGTTGATGCTTTTTTACAAGTGGAGTGCGTTAACTGCATAAAGGAAGTCATGAACTCAGAAGCGGGCCTCAACTACATCGTCAATGATTCTCAGTTCTCACGAAATCTAGTCAAAGGTTAGATGTTCGTGTTGTAAGCTTAACAGCTGGGAAAACGTTTTGATGGTGATTTTTACGATTTGTCTAAGTTGACGTTTATTTTCATTTGGAGTAAAGTTAGTATTTATCAATCAGGCACATCAGAATAGGCTATATCGCCTTTCACACTTTCGGGGCAATAACTTATTGCGAATATTTTTATTTTTTTATCAGAAATAAAAATTTCATTATCAAGAAATTCTCGTATACCAAATACCATTTTCACTTTTCAAAGAGACGTGTTTAAAAAGGGATCAATTCAAAAAATTAACTTATTTAAAAAACCTGTTTTAAAATTCATTAAATAAGCCTACAAGGTCTACGAGGTCTTTTCATGTTAAAAAAACTKAATCATTGAAAAAACTGTCGTTCGCATGTCCATCCATTCCATTCAGTGTTTACATTTTTGAAATCTATTTTTGCTGTAAACCTTTGCTTGCCATTCATTCAGTTACTATGGCATCGTAATGTTATCTAGGACAATCTCGATATCAGGCTCAAGGATCTTTATCATATTATTCACAGTTCATAGTCAAAATATACTTTACTTTATAGACTCTCTTTTTTCGATTTATTTTTCTGACAATGTTCGCGAAATATGGTCTCATTTCAGGAACAATTTATTTGAAGGGCCAAAATTTTCCCCGTCCAAAGYGTCCTTTTCTTACTTAAGATAAATCATTTCATAAACGTACCATACTGGGTCTAGCACTTTTTGTTTCAATATGAATTTTTCTTTCACAACAACGTCTTTATGGGATTTTCCCCCCATGGCTGCATGCGTTGTTTAATTAATTCTTTTTTAATGTGCCACTATTATTTATTACAGCTACTATCTCGGTACAGACTCGATTGGATCATTTTCTTTTGTTAGTGTCGTTTCTATAGCAGCAAAACATTTTGTGTGGTCGCGTGAATAAAACTCTCCGCTTTGAATAAAACTGATATATGATACACTATTTGAATAACAGTATTTGTTTCTTTGTTTCCAACAGCTTTGGACACGAGCAATACAATGATCAAAAAGCAAGTGTTTGAACTGTTATCAGCCCTTTGTCTATACTCCCATCAAGGATACCAGTTGGCTATAGACGCCTTGGAGAACTACAAGGTAAAATGAGATAGCAAGTGTTGGGGAAGGCTCTTATATTGGACCTAATTGGAAACTGTATAGAGGCCAAGTATAAGAAACAGATAAACCGCTCGCCTCATGATATCGCAAACCCGGTATTTATATATATACTGATCACGAAACATCCTGAGTGAGCCTGAGGCGGTTCATATACATAAGCATTCATCATCTTCCACAGCGGTCTTTTTACCACTAAGATTTTTGTGTTCCCAAAATTAAACTTGCTAAAAAAGTCAAATAAATTCGAATTTTCCTATAATCGTTAGTATGTACATTCCTGAAAAGACATAACTCTCAGAATTTTGAATTTTGGGTCTGTGTAAATATTTAATATTATTATTATTWTTTTTTTCTTTCTTTCTTGACAGGATTATATTTATCTATTTCAGTTTCTAATTTGTCTCCCCAATTAGCTCTGAAGAGCTAAAATACATGGAGACGTAAAAAAAGTTGATTTATTCATTTAAAATAAATAGATAAATAAAATAATAATATTATCCTATTATTATTAAGATAGGAAAAATTCTTGCTACAAGGCACCTGACGAAGCCATCACACTACATCACACTTTACTATTCGGCCTGCTTGCATGAAGGATTTGCTTCACCCTTTCTCTTTTTCCCCCAAGAACCTTTTTTAA